ACACGCCACCACACCCGAGCGCAGCAGCAGCAGTGATCTGTCAAAACGGGGCCGAAACGGGAAAATTTTATATTCGGGTAGATTAGCCACAATGGACTACCTTTAAAAAGGGAGGGGAGGGGGGACCTTCGCTCTCCAGCAGCTCCAGCTATAGCTCTGAGATGTAGGAAGTGGCGCGCGAATGGCCAGGCGAGGCTGGCGCTGCTAATGCTGCATGCTGGCGTTACGTCCTCATTGTGGACTACAACAACTTTATTATTACAGTGTGGATGCTCGCTGCTGGGGATGACTGCAGATTTATAACCATGACAGCACAGGTTGGTGCAGGTCGTGCGCAGGAATGGCGCGAGCCTCGGCGCAAGCCTCGGCGCGAGCCTTCTTCGTGCCTCGCTGCTTTGCAACAGAGCCTTATTGGACCTCACTGAAGTCTTACCGAACCGCGTCTTGGTCTTGTGGAAAGGTTGGCGGGTGAGTATCGGGGGAAAGATTAGGCTTTATAGTCATGAGACATATTTACAAAACATAAATCATGATGCAAACAACGCCGTTGTGTGGGTTGGGTTTCGCTCTGGCTCTAGCGCCTGTGAGGTAGGCCGTCCCGTCAGACCGCGATGTCGTGCAGGGTTGCCTACTCCAGATTGACAGGCGCCCTGGGGGGTGCACCCAAGCCAGCCCGCCGGGACGGACGCTCTGTACACGGACAAAAGCAAAGATGTAAGTCAAGAACTTTTATCGGTTTGTACCGATGAATTGTTGTGTGTGGAGCATCTTACGTCCGGGAGCCTGGCACGCACGCCTGGCGCGAACCTCACTCACTCGGACACGTTCACCCCCAGCGCCCACACCCAGAAAATAGTATCCATCCCGAAACCAAGAACATTTCTTTTTAAAAACTACGAGGTAATTTTTGAACTTGGTTTAAGGTATTTTATTTCCACTGTTTTCAAGAAAATTTAGTCAATCAAGGGACATTTTTACTTTATTTTTACGACATTTGTCTTAAGTTTGTATTATTGAGGTAAAAATAGCTAAGAAACGCATTGCGCCTTGTTTCAAGAATACCGTTTTATAGGTTCAAAATTGTTGTTTCCTGGTCTATCGCTTGCTTCTCTCTCCTTATCGAGAGGAAAAGCTAGCCGATACCTTTGTCAAGGTACCATCTGGTTTAAAATAAAAAGGGTATAAAAACAGACAAATTAGCTGACACTTCCCTAAAAAAAGTTTCCGTGTTCGATAGTCGTGGCACTGTAGTGGTGACGCTGCGGAAGCGAAGGTAGCGGGCCTCCAGCGAGGAGAGGAGGTGCGCCTTGAGCCGGGCCGCAGTCGACGCGAATAAGCGAAGGGCCGCGGAGTTGAGGAGGAAATGGCAGCCGCTGCTGCTTGCGGTCTGCGCCACCACCGCCGCCCCGCCACAAGGGCTCGGCGCGCTTTGTAGCCAATCATCGCTAGCGCCATCGTGAGGGTCGGCGTCGCTGGCGGAAGCGGGGGAGTGAGAACGTTTCGCAGAGGCTGCGGCCGCCAATAGGGCGTCAGTAGTAGTCCTCACGGACCAGACGGTAGTGGGCTTTGGTGCCGAACGTCCGCCGGGAGCCTCGCGAGTGATAACGAGCTCAGCGGTCGCGTTATCGGTCCGCGGCCGCGAGTGGGGAGCTCCGCCGCCGCAGCTGGTGCATCGCCCCCCGGGCCCGCCGGCGCGGCTGTCGACCGCCCCGGACTCGCGAACTGAGGAGATCATGGCACTGACGGCGGGGTGGTGGACGCCCTGGGCGATGGCGTACGCGGCCGTGAGCTGCTACTGGCTGTGGCAGGTGAGAGCCCCGGTGGTGGCGTGGTGACCCGGAGCCAAGGGGAAATCGTATGACTCAATAACTGTTGTGTATGTTCATCCGTCGTGAATTTTCAGTAAAACTTTTCAAATTTGCGTTTTAATTATTTCGAGAATTTCTATTTAATCTCAAAAATTTAGGGAAGACTCGTTTTGAAAGTGTCACTTGTAATTTCTGCGAAACTTTGCAATTATTTTTCCGAATATTTGAACATTGCATTTCGACGAGCTTTGTAATTTTTTTCTTAAAAAAAAGTCGCAGTTCCGACTTTGAATGTCGGTGTGTACAACTTTTCAGAAGCTCATTGACCCGCTGAGAACGGGCGCGCTGCGGGTGGCGGCGGCGTCGTTGAGTTGTGACGCCACCCCCGCGACCACCATGCGCACGCCTGTAACGTGGTCGCTGCACATGGAGTACCCCCCCCCCCCCCCCCGTCTTTCCACCTCTCCCTCCAGGCTCAATGGGCTCCTAGCTAGAGGCTGCTGGACGTGCCGCCGAGGGGACCAGTTGTTGCGACACCCTCTCTGGAGGGAGAGGTGGGGAGGGGGAGGGCAAGGGAGAGGCAGACTGGAGGAGAGGGCGACACCGCACGGCACACGCAGAGAAATGGAAGGAGAGTGTTCTTGAATCTTGACACGGTGGAGGAAGATCGTTATGACACCTTTAGGGCGTGTTATAACATGATATGATAATAAGGGAATTCATTTGCAGTTTATGCGAAATCCATGTCCGAAATCGACGACAGCCGCAGCGGGTTATGGAAAAGAGGTGTGTGTTGTCATACACGTGTGGGTGGGGTCGGGGTAAGGAGGGGGGGAGGGGGGTGCCAGGCCAGGCCCGCATGACCAGCATCCACACCCGCCAAACAGCCATAAAGCAGTGACTCCTGCGGCTGACGAAATGTGACACTCGTGAGATATGTGTGAATGAGTGTGTGTGCGTGTGTGTGTGTGCATGTGCACGCGCTTTCGCAACAAGATGCGCTCCTCGTCAAACCCCTGGTGCAGCCTCCCGCGCCTCCAGCACCCCGCCGAGGACAAGACAATACCAATGGGCGTCCTCGTCCTCGATTTGCCAAAGAGCAAG